CCCCAAAACCCCAAAACCCCAAAACCCCAAAACCCCTCTCTGGTTTTAAATAATTGAACTTATGAATTTATATAATTTAAATAATCATGAAGTTAAGATCAACCAAGAATCTTTTACTTTCATTGATGGTTATCATCTTCTTGATGCTTGCTAGTGTTACTTTAGCAGAAGATGATGGCTCTCGTGATAAACGTGGAATCCCAGCAGCTACTTGGAGTACATCTTGGGACAGACTGAGCTCAGTATCGTCAAGAAATGGACCCGGGTTACCTGGTCAATGGTCTCCATCATACAATCCCGATGCTGGAGCTAGTAAAAATAGCACAGATAATATTCAGGTTGATAGCTTGGTTCAAAGCTCCAAAATCCATGTTGATACTGATTTAAATTCTAATAAGAGAGTTTATAGCGGGCACGGAATTCCTTATGGAACATGGAGTACATCTCGGGATGAAACGAGCTCTGCTTCGACAAGACTTGCCCCAGGAAGTGTTGGACAGTGGTCCCCATATGCCTCTCCTCCAGATTATGAAGATTCTCTTGCTACTCATCATACCACCCCTAGGGATTTGCAAGAAACTTCGACTACTTTTCATAGTGCCTCAGGAACTAGGAAAGCTACAGGCGCTATTCATCAAAATAGTGGACCTACTAATCCTAGTACAAAAACCACTTCTCATGCTGTTTTACCAGCCCAGAGCTCAGTTGTTGCCAAGGGTGATACTACACATGGATCAACTACCAGAGTTCAAGGACAGACTACATTTCATGGTAAAACTTCTGCCGATACCGCCTCACCTACTTCAAAGCAAGTCACTCGTGTTGGAGGATCTCCTGTATCAAGTGCAGCTAAGGTTGATGCTACTTCTTCAGCTATCAGGCCAGGAGTAGTTGAAGGGTACCATACCTCGGTTGTTGGCCCAGTAGCTGGTCATGTATCTATAGCAGAGCCTGCTTTACATTATGCTTCTGTAGCAGAGCCAGTCTCATTCCAAGCTCCTATTGTTGAAGAAGTTCTCCCAGCCCATTACAGAAGCCCAATGTCTTACGAAAGGCCAGCTATTCTTTTTGAACATGAAGAAATTGTCGGTACCCCAATGAGAATTGAGAGACCCTATATCCTTGAAGAGACAGCTATATTCGAAGATGTAGTAGTTGAACACGAATCTCCGGTTATTGAGTACCAGAGAGAGCTTCCAACCACTGAAAGTCAAAAGTTTATCAATGAATATAACAAGAACAAGTATCCAGGACTAATTTTCGGAGTTGATGAAGAAATTGAAATTGAAAAATGCTTCCACCAAGCTATCGATTTCTACCAAAATGCTCAGGTAGAAGAAGTGTATGAAGACGGAATCATCCAAACTCCATTTGGATCAACACATGTTAGATCTCCATCTTATTCCCATGTTAACAGACCAGCTAGACAGCATGAAGAAGTACTTGAAAAGTGTGTTCATAAGACAATCATAGCTCCAACAACTGAGAACGGAGTGAGAATTCCTCAGGTTAGATATTTGAATCTGACTCAAATAAAAACAGGAACCTTTGAATGGCCAGTTGTTAGAAAAGCTCAAGTATTACCAAGAAAGACTTTAGAGAAGACTGTCACTATTCCTCAAGTCGGATTTGTTGATTTATGTCAAGATCACCCAACTACTGAGCATTCTGTGATGATTCCACAAGTTCATACTGTTCTGGTAGAGCAAATAGTTCATACTGATGAATGTGAAGTAAATATTCCACAAGTCCATAAAATTTGGATCCCAATCATGGGAGATGTCACAGTTGATCAGTATCCAACAAAAACTAGAAGAGTGAGCTTAAAACAAGAATGGGATTGCACTATTAGATGTGAAGACACTAGAGTTCATTTTATTAAGATTCCACAAAGAGATGAAGGTGTCACTGGAACAGTGATTAAAAATCCTTATGATGAAGGCAAAAATATCTGCCACAATTGTCATTCCTCTAAATGTGCTGGTGTTGGTCCATCTTTGAATCCATTCTTGATCCAAGAGCATAGAGATGTTACTCCAGCTCCAGTCATAGTACAAGCTGTAGCCCCAGCTCCAGAACCAGAAGTTAGAGTTGAAACTAAATATGTTGAGGTTATCAAGGAAGTACCTATTCCTTGTCCGGAGCCAGAGCCACAAGTTATTGTAGCTCCAGCACCAGCCCCAGTACAGGCCGCAGTTCAAGCTCCACCACCAGAGCCAGAAGTGAAGGTTGTAACAGAGACAGTTTATGTTGAAGTACCTGCTCCAGCTGCTGAGCCACAAGTTATCATTCAGAAGCAAGATCCAACTGAGATTCATCATATTAAACTAGGACAATGCCCATGTTCTGAAACTGTTATTGCTAACCCTGTATCCTTTGCTGAAGGTGCACCAGGAGCTCCAATCCAGTTCTTGCAAGGAGGTGCAGCAGCTGCATCGAGCGGATTCCCATGGTGGCTGATTCCTCTCCTTTTATTCTTACCTCTCTTATTGGCAATGCTACTGGCATGGCTTCTTTGTAGAGGAAGAAATAGAAAGGAAATTGTAGCAGCAGCTCCAGTAGAACAAGAATCTCCAAAGAAGAAATTTGTCATTGGTAAAAAGACAAAAGAGGAAGATGAAGAAGAAATCGAGAGAGAAATTGCTAAACAGCTAGAAATGAGAAATCAAGCCAAAGACAGGCAATCTTCTGCTCATGCTTTTGGAGAAGAGAGAAAAGCTGAGGCAACTTACAATGTACAAGCAAAACAGGAATCTCATGCAATTCAAGAAGTTCATGCTGCACAAGAAGCTAGAGCTGTTATGGGAGCTAATACCGCGAAAGAGGCTAGAGCTGGACAAGATGGTAGCCTAGTTCAAGAGACTAAGATTATAAAAGAAACCACTAAGATTGTAAAAGAAGCACAATCAGCTCATGAAAGAGCTGGAGGAGCTGGAGCTGTTGTTATTGAAAAAGAAGGAGCTGGAGCAACTGGAGTAGAAGAAGGAAAAGCAGCCAGTGCTGGATCTCCTGGAACCAAAGTTAAACAACAAAGACTTGAAAGTCCAGGAAGTTCTCGCCGCTCAAGCGGAAGAAATAGATCATCTAGAGGATCAGGATCTAGTAAGAAGGTTGTTAAAAAGAGAATTGTCAAGATGATGAAGCAAGGAAAACTTGTAGCTGAGAAGGAAGAGATCCTTGATGCTGAAGGAAATGTTATCAGAACTGAAATTAGAAAGCAAGGCTTCACTTCTGAATCTCCAGGGAAATCTAATGAATAATCTTCATATTTTACTTGATTTACTCAGATAATTCAATAGCCAAATCATTGAAAGGGGTTTTGGGGTTTTGGGGTTTTGGGGTTTTGGGG